CGCCCAGTTTCTCATCACTGTTCATCTGTGTAACCTGCTCTAGTCTCTATTTAACCTGCCTGCTCCCAGTCATCAGTGCCAGATTATTCGAGCCCTTGGTGAGAGTTATCTAGAGTAGACTGGATGGATTAACAGCCCATAAGCAAATCAAAAACTTGCACCAGGCGCTGCAAAGCACACTCTACATCAATGGGTTTCTGAGCAAATTACCTACCCACAACTTTTACTGTGTGGGTAGGCAATTTAATTAGTGATATAAGGATAAGTTAAAAGGTGACCAGATCTAAAAAAAAAGAAGCAAAAAACAAATGTGGGAGAACTATGATGCTTTTGAGGGACAATGCAGGACTACCACAGGTTTTTCAGCTTTCTTTTGTGAGTCACTTTTACAGTGTTCTTTACATCGCATTCCCTCCTATCGTATTTATAAATTACTTTGGAAAACTTTGTCAAAAGCTTGCTGAGAATCCCCTTTCACTGCCTTACTCGATCCATCCATTGTGGTTTTATTTTATTTTCTTAAAGCATAGTGTACATCATATATTCTACTTTTATAATTTGACCTGGTCTAATGCAGGTCATTGTTTAAGTGTGTGGGATGGTGGGACAGAAGTAAAAAAAACCCACAAAACTATTCTGCACAAATCGGGAAATCAAGTCATTCTAGTAAGTTTAGGTTTGTTGTATCCTTTTATAGAAAGAAGATTTTTATTTAGTCTACCTTCCGCTCAGATGTTGTTTTCCTGTTATTACCTTTAAATTTCCTCTGAAAATAAAAACTCAACCTAAATTATAACCAGCATCAGATATATACACCAGTAATACGGGCACTGAACGCATTTATTACACATCCAGTGTAAAAAAATAAAACTGTTTAAAAATAGAGAGCTATGACACATGTAACATATGCGTAGCACATGGCTATGCCCCTTAAGTAATACACAGTAATAAATCCAATATATTTACTACTTTAGAACTGTCCAAATAAAGGGAGCAAATTGCAAATTCATGCGCACTTTTCAGATTTTACTTTGTAAAATCATTTAAAAACAGTTATTAATTTTTTTCCCCTTAAATTTAAACTAAATGCTATTTTGTGTTGGTACACAGGAAATGTCAGTAAAGCACACTAAAGTTTATGGTTGTACTGTGGTAAAATTGAGCATTCTTTATAGAGGAATACATGCGTTTGATAGGAAATATAAAGTGATTTTCTTAAATGATTAATCTAGTTTAAAATGACCAAAAGAGTCAAAAATTTGTTTTGTTATTACTCATTTCAGGTTTAATTTCAGGTTAAATTTAAACGACCAATGCTAGCCTGGTTGTGCTTGAGGTTTCTTCCTGTTAAAAGTGAGTTTTTCTCTCCATCAACTCATTGACTCTTCAGCACACCAAGCATGTTTGTAACGACAAACATGCTTGGTGTGCTGAAGAGTCAATGAGTTGATGCAATCAGCATCAATCTGACTGTATAAACCAATCTGACTTTATGTTCTGGTTAAATTGTCTCTAAAAAGCGCCCTAAGATGAAGTGTTGTGAATTGACGCAATATAAATAAACTGAATTGAATTAAATAAGAATGTACTTTTAATAAAGACTAATCAGGCTCCTTATTCATGTGCCGACATCCAACAATCCCTATTAACATCCGATTAGACAAGTGAGGCTAATAAAGTACACAAAATGTATGTGATATTCAAAGACAACAAAATTCCCCATGTTTATATGCATTATAAGCCGTCAAGCCGTCGTAAAGAGGTGTAAGAATAAAGGCGGTGAGTGCCGAACCTCGGAATGATGGGCTCACTATTTATCCGTGACGTTCCACAGGATTTTACAGCAGCAGCAGGTTCAACCATCTGCTGCAAAGACAAATACTCTCACCTGCAACGTTCAGAGACACCTGTCACACAGCCAACCTAACACAGAATCCACAAATCCCCCCCCCACCACTACAAATATTAAGCCCCCTGGTTTTCGGTATTTAACTGTGGCTTAGTGGATGTGAAGCTGGTGTTTTACAAGGCTGTTTTGGGTAATGCCAGGATTTATAAAAGTTGGGTCACTGTGCCGGGCGACTGTTGGATTTGGTCACATGGCAATGATCCTCAGCATAAGGTAATGTCTTAAGTATATTCGCAGCGGAGGCAGCTATAAGCAGAAGGCAAGGATCTGAATAACAACTAATAAAAAGAGAGTTATTTCGTACCGTGTCTAACTGTATAACAAATGAAAATATAATTTTTCCATGGGAGGAATGCATTTGGTCACATTGGAAATCTGATCAATCTGGAGATTTAAAAAAAACAATTA